ACTTTGTGCTGTGAAACTGTCAGGTACACGGTAAGAAGCACGATCTCTCCCTGTGAGCACCAGTGAGATCCAGTAAGGGTGCTGAGTGATGTGCAATTGTGAACTTTGCCATTCTGCAAACCAGAAGCCTCTTTATTTTCACTGAGAAACAGGAAAAGTGAACCAAATCACACAGGTCCAGGGGTTCAATTTTACAGTCATTGTTGACGCTGTAGGCAAATAATAAAGGAAGTGCAGTGCAAGTCCAGTGTATATTCTTCTCAGGTCAACAAGGTACAATGGCATAGAGGGGTTAAAGGCTTTTTATCCTTTATTTTTAAGAAGAGGAAAGATGTGACAATAGTTGCACTTACTGTGCTAAAAAGTTATGTGATAAATCACAATCCCCTTTTATAGGCAATTAATTAAGCTCCTTTGATGGGAGGATAATCTGCAGAATTCCCATGGAAGTCTTTGTGCTGGTTCTCTTGCACAAGGTGATGGCTCTGCCACCTTCCCTTTGCTTGAGCCTAAGCCAGGAGGATGGGAGTGTGTATAGGGCTGGGTGCCAGGCAGCCATGTGCTGTCCTCACCTCTGTCACCTTTGGGGGTGCAGAGGAAGTGCATGGAGCTGTGTGTCATCCTGCAGGGAGATTACCAGGTCACTGTGCTGAGATAGATGGGCGTTTGGCAGCTATGCTGTGGGATGGCATGTGCATGTTCCTGCTGAGCCGGAGCATTAGGATTGCCTTTCCTTCCCATTGTCCTCCTGCTGTGTAAGCTGGAGACCTTCTCAGTCTCCTTTTTTTCTAGTTATTGGTGTCAGCCTGAGATTTGCACACCTCAGGGATGGTGGTGGTGGTGTTCAGGTGTGCTTTGGGGAAGAAGAGGGACAGCATCTTTGTCTGTGGTGAAAGTCCAGTGGCTCTGTGTGATGGTGACAGCATGTGTTATCCCACAAAGCAAAGGTGTGTCATCCCAAGCAAAGCAAGGGGCAACACCCTTGCCTTCATCCCTCCCCATCCCAGACTGGGAGTGGGGGCTCTGTGGTAGCAGGCCACTTTCCCAGGAAAAGCATGAAGCATAGCCTCAAACACTGCCCATAATATTTTTTTTCTTTTTTTTTCCTCGTATAAGGGTCAGATTTGATGAGGAGTCTGGCTTCCAGCTGAAGTTGGGGTAATTTAGGAACTAAACCAGCTTTTTAATGTATTTTCTGCATGTCTCAGTCCCCATCTATGATGGAAGTAATGGTACTTTCTTGTTCAGGAAGTGGATGCATACACAGGCTTCTGTGGTCCTCCTAGCTTTCAGATGTAATAAGAGCATTTATTAGGGCTTGTCAGAATTGCTCCAGAATTTTTTATCTATATTTGGAATAAATGGCTCTGTTCTCAAAATGGAGCTTTCTGAGGAAACGTCAGCTTGCAACTCAGTTCTTGTTTTGTAAAGGAAAAAAACCTTGGGTTTTTTCCTATTTTTCTATTTGTGATAATAAAAACATTTGTTGAAAACAAAAATGTTTTCATGAAACTCAGTCAGTGGTGAGGCCGCTTCACACTCTGCTGGCTTATTGCCTCGTGTCCATGTTTACCTAGGCCTCTCTGCCCCATCCAGGCTTTTCCCTTTTCTTTTTTGAAGGAGTATGCTTCCTTGGCCTCTTTATCCAGCTGTTTGGAAAGAGGAGCAGCAACCCTGAGAAACTTTTCTGTTTTTAATACATCCTCATCCACCTGAAGGTATTTGTTCCAAGGCAGAAACTGGATTGGTTTGCTACTAGGATATAAAGGTGAAAGAGGATGGCTAATGCTTGGAGGGGGCAAACATTTCTAAACCAGAGAGATTTACTTGTCCTGGTTGATTGTGCTTTTTAAATGTCTCCATGAATTATAATGCTTTCAAAAATACCAAGGCTGACCACGTGGGCACAGGAGTGTGGATTCCAGTTGCCTGCCAGCTGTTTGTTGCTATTTTCAAATGATCTGGCCAAAACTGGATAAAATCTAAGCCTTGAACACGAAGACTGTCTGGTCATGTAGGCTCTAAGTTTCAAAAGTTTCGTTTACAAATGGTTTTAAGGGCAGTGATAAGAGGACCTGCCGTGGTGCCAAGGGTTTCATGGTGGTGGCACCTGAGCAAGCTTTGGACAAGGTGTCCTCTGCCTTCAAATTTTGGCCATTTAAAACCTAAATGGTTAAAGGAACATTATCCTTTATAGTAAAACTTTATAATAAACCCCTTAGACTTGGCAGAGCGAACATGCACTAAAATGCCATCTCTGCCCTAGGAGATCTCAGCCTAAAGGTGGGCTGCAGAAGACCCTGGACTGGGAGTGGGGACAGCCAGGCACCTTCCTGCCCCTGTATCTTGGGGCACAGCACTTCTCTGCTCTCCTGGGCACTGTCAATCTGGTTTTCTTCACTGAGCATCATAAGATGTGAGTGGTGTGTTAGGGCAGCATTCTGCTGGTGCTTCCTGGTGAGGGTGGCCATTCCTTGGGGAGTGGGCAAATGGCATGGTTTTTTGGATTGCAAAATGTTGTCCTTTGTTTGAAACCCAAGCTCTGTGGTGCTCTGATACTGCATGAATACTTGAAAACAAAGTCGATTTTCCTTGTTTGGTAAAGAAGCTGGGCTGCATTTGAGGGAGAAAGTGAAACTGCCCCCCTCTTGTTCAGGGTCTCTCTGACCAGGCTTAGCGAAGTGCAGACAGCAAATGGTGGGGGGGAAAAAAGAAAAAAGTGAAAATAAAAATCAGTGAGGCTGTTTTGCAAATCTTCCATTTCCAGTAGACTGAGGGAGTGCGAACAGCATGAGGCCAGTAGTTTGTGCTTGAAAATATGGGATCCAATCCTGGTGTCAGTTACAGACATGTAAATCACAGGCAGCGCTGCTGGCAGTGATGGGAAGCCGCTGAAAGGTTGCTCCAGCTTGGGACCTGCAGGCTTTCTGGCATAGATGTGCTGATTCCTCTCGTTCCTTAGCCACCCTTTTTTCCTTTCTGTCTTTGGGCATTTAAAATAACAGGAGTGCAACGTGGCTGATCCTGCTTTTGGGTTGTTTTCCAACTATCGTAGCCCAGTGGTTCCAGCTCAGGGTGACTCCTGGCTGCTGGGATGTTTTAGGTAGGGCTGTCTCGCAGCTTGCTCAGCCTCTCTTTAAATCTGTTCTGCTCCAAATGATCTTTTAATTTTCTGTAATACGGCAGTCTCTGGGAGAGTGGGATGCCATCCCTTCAGTACAAATTGGATCCTATTCCTTCTGTGCTGGTGTGCAGCTGGAGTGTTCTCACCTCCTTTTCCCCCCGCTCTCCTAACTCATTTTCCCCTTCTTGTTTTAGTCACATTTAATGAACCCCAGAACAAACCTGGAAATCAAGTGTGGCAGCAAAGACACAAATGTGTCCCCTGGTCCCTAAGCCTGTCCACTGCTGCAGGACCTTGTGGCTCCTGCAGGGCAATGCTGTAGCACCCGGCTCTGTGCCCTGCAGCATGTAGGGGCTGCCAGGGAGTTTATGGGAGCTCATTTTCCCCCTTGGAGCTGATTGTCTGTGCTGTGGCCGGCATTAGCCTTCCTCCAGGACTAGGGCTGGACCAGGAGCTCGGAAGTTGTAAGTCCCATTATGGCTAATTTTGACACATGGGTTGTGGTGGATTTGGAAGCAGCCCCGTGCCGAGTACTATCTGTGAGGGGTGTGTGCTTCCTTGAGGACTGAAACTCGCCATTCACAGCCACTGCTTTGCACCAGCACAGGATCTGGCCTCCCAAAAGGCAGCAGCCAGGCTGCTCGTAGTGGTGACTCCCTGAGCAGGTGCTGCCGCTGGCAGCAGAGCAGAGGAAACACGTCTCCAGCTTTTATTGTCTTGTGTGATCTTTTTATTAGATAACTTTGAATTGAGCAGTTTAATTTTAATATATGAAGCCTGAGAAGCAAACACAGGGCCGGATCCTGCATGAGTCAGTGTCCCAGGGTAGAAAGAGGAGCCCGTCTCCATGTGACTGTGTTCAAGTGTGACGCTACTGATTTATATAAGCTGAATTTTAAGTCAGATTTGGACTCCAAATTGAGGGGAGTATGTAAGGGGTCCAATTTTCCAGTGTGTGAGAATGTGGAGACCTCAGATGGCTCCCTTGGTGCTGGTGGTGGCCAGAGCGCCTGAGGATCAGGGCTCTGGCAGTGGAGGAGATAACATGAGATTTCTTAGTTTGGGAACTTTGACCAGAAAATAACAAATATATTGGCATAGAGTGGGAAAGACATAAAAAGACGTATGTCAGAACAGGGCAGGCTTTTAAGTGGTTTTCATTTAAAATGAAAAGGTCAGATTGAATGAGGTTGGCGTCTGGGGAACTGTTCGTGCACCTGCCAATCATACAGGGGGGACCCATGTCAGTTTGTGCTGATGACTGACTGGCTGGGAGCTTGTCTGTGCTGAAAAATTGGTGACTGGAACAGTTAAAATGACAATTTTCCTTGTGGCTGTCAGGTTGAGCCATCTGCTTCATGAAGGAATGGAACAAAGGATCCCAGCACAAGGCTGCTTTATCCCAGTTCAGCTGGTGCTTGCACTTGGGCTTCAACAAGTACAGCTATACTGATTTAAAAAACAATAATAATAATAATAATAAACAGGCTCTGAATATTGGTAACACTTTCAAGTGTAAAGGAAATTAAAAGTGAATGCAGCTTTTGAGTAGTTAGAAAAACAGTTGCCATTTAACCAGGCCGTTGTGATAACTGTAATTAGCACTTGCTGAAATTATTTTCACAGGTAAGATTTTCATTTAAATGGATTGGGGTGTCTGGTTACTTCCATTTCTACGTGGCCACAGTAAAGTTATGCTTTTCTGAGAGTGCTGACTGCTGCTCTTTGAAACTTGGAATTCTTGCAGAGGTTTTCAACTGTCCATTCCTGAAAAATCTGAACAATCTAAGAAAACTCAAGCCATAACAGACGATTGATGCTTAAATTCAGGCATTGTAAACTACTGGTTTTAGATTTAAATCTACAAATAGGTAAAAGTGCTTTCTGTATTCCCCTTCTGTGTTAAATTTATGTTTATTTTTTTCTTGAGAAATACTGGTTCTTACTGTCAGCAATACAGCATCAATATTGTCAGCCAGTGGGTGAACGAACTGCTTCTGATCATTATGTCACAAGGTGATGGGGATAGCTGGTGTGGAAAGTAAAGCCAGGAAGACACAGTTCAATTAGCCAAGTCCTATCACTGATCTTGGAAACGTTTTGTAAATTAAACCTGAGAGACACAATCCTGAGCCAAGATTTTTAAACACAGGTTGGTTCTCAAGAAGTATTGTCTTACCTGGAGCTCCTGGAGGTGCTGTTGTGAGTTGAACTGAAATGGTGTTGGAACCAGAGGGGGATGTTGTTGTCTTCTGCCTTTGCAGATAAGACCGAAGGGCATTTTGCCAGGAGCCTGTGGGAAGGACCTAAATTGTATGTAACTCTACATCATTTTTAAATGAAAAGTAAACATACAAAACCATAATATTTGCTTGTACTTGTCTCCTCATTGATGGATGAAGAAAAATTGTTCTTTGGCTGAGTTCATCAGCAGTAAAACCCTGCAGTTACTCATCTTCATCCCAAACCTGCAGTGAATGGGAGAGGCCATTGCAATCTCCAGTTGAAATTGTCCTCATCACACCTGAGGGGAGCATTGATGGTCCTGGGAACTTTTATACCTGGCCATCCCTGTGGGGAATCAGAGCTGGGTGCCACCACAGGGACCATGGGACTGAACTGGGACAGGGTGAAGGTCTGTGTGCTCTTGTGGTGTTGTCATAGTGGAGATCTTCCACTGCTTGGGAGAGGCAAGAGCCCTGTTGCTCTCCTGGCTACTGTGGCAACAAGTGTGGCATGGGAGACAAAAGGTGCTGGCAGGGGCAGGAAGGCATTTTGCTGTGTGACAGGGAGGAGGGACCTGGACTGTGAACCACAAAGACGCTTTTGTGTTTTGCTGCATGTTGGTTGTAGATTTGTGGGCTCACATGAACTCTCATGAGCAGCACAGGTACAACAAATGCAAGTCTGAACTGAGCTTTTCCATAGTTACAACAGCAAATAGCAGTAACTTTCTCTGCTGAGCTGAGATGACAGGCCAAGCCTGTGCTTGTCATGGGCTGAGATAGGGCTGTCAGAGTGACCAGCATGTGGCTGAGAGGGGATGCTGGCTGGGGGCAGGAAGGAGTGTGCGATTCAGATGCTGCTGGTCTCCGTGGGCTGCACCCTGCCACTTGTCCTGGCATGCCACGTTCAAGATGGTGGTCACGTGGCCTGGTTGTCCCCTCTGCTCTACCTTCATGTTCTGCAGAAAGGAAAAAACAACACTGAGCTGGTCACATCAAGAAAGGGTAGTGTCTGCTTCTCAGCTACAGGAAAGAGTGAGACAGTCCCCAACGGGCAGAGCTCCTTAGAAAAAAGGCTGTGCTGAGGGGGAGGGCTGGGGGTGTAGCTCTGCTCACAGTAATGGTGAACCCCATGAGCTTCAAAACGCATTAGATGATGCCTTCTGGCTCCCTCACTGTGTCTGAGGTCAGGGAGATGAGTGATGGATTCATCCTGCTCTCTTAATTTATGCCTCATTTTGCATCTCCTTGTCCCTCCCCCTTCTCAGTGGCATTAAGAGCAGTAAAGAAGTGGTGGCTCGAGAAGGTGTGAGTTGTTGACCAAGCTGTGGCATCTGACATTTCTAGTCATTGCTGGTTGTTAGCCCAGTTCCGGGTGGTGGGGCTTGCTTTTGGGGGTGCTGAAAGGAGTCCAGGAGTCTGAAGGCTTCTGCTTAAGAAAGCTGGGGAGGAAAATGCTATGTTTCCCAGAAGTTGTGTGGGTTAAACTGCAAGTTTTGGAGACAAGCCGTCGGGAGGCCCATCCAGTGTGCATCACTTGAGTGTCTCTCTCTTTGCAGGGCTGGGAAAGAAACCCAAAGTCGTGAGTCTGGCGGAGCCCTGCGTGTTTCCAAACGCCCTGCTCTGAGTTCATCCCACCAGTAAGGCTGTGCAGCGTGAGAACTGGTACGTAAACATGATTCATAGGCACAGGGGGCAACTTCTCAGAAGGATGTCATGCCTTTTCTGACAGTGGCACCTTGTCCATGGTTCTCGAAGTTTGGAGGGGGAGTGGGATCATTGGGAAAGAGCAGACAAACCGATGGTTCCCTAGTGGTGCTTACACCCAGAGGCTTTGGTGGGGAAGGGCTCAGCAGTGAGAAGCTGTGAGTGTCCGAAAGTCATTCCAGTCTATGGTGCTGAGGCTTCAGACATGCTCTGTTGAGTGATGCGCTGTGTCATAGCACGCACGGATGGGCGATGTGGGGGTAATGACAAATACATGCACCAGAAATGCAGATACATACACACACACACACACTACAAGTGTAGGCACATGGAAACAAAGATGGCAATGCGTATATAGTATGTACTATACAGTGGCATATGAGAGCTTGGGGGTGTATATACCAAATGTCCGTATATGCTATATATGGTGATAAAAGAATGCATATGCATTCATGTTCTTTTTTTTTTTCTTTCTGTCTCTTCTGTCTTTCTGTGGAGCTGTTGCAAAACCAGCAGATTCAACCTCCTGGGAAGCCTTTCTGGCCAAGGTTCTACAAGCCAGCACCTGCTTTGCCTGCCTGACTTCTTTCTATATTTATTCCCCTGCACCCGGTTTTTGCCTTTGCCTGTGGAACTGTCACAAACATTTGTGCTGGCTTTTGGCTGCACAGGACTTCAGCTTGCAAGTCCTAAGTCTGCTTTTGTGCATGGTGGAGGGGAGCAGGAGTCTGTGTGTGTAGTTGTGCATGTGTATGTATGAGCATTCGTGGTCCTTGCTGTCTGCATTACATGGTCTGTGTCCCTGTGATGCTGCAGCAGTCCCTGTGTTCTGTAAGCCACGCAGGTTGTTCTCTCTGCCCCTTCAAGATGTTTTTATGAATCAAATATTCTCAGTCCTCTTGCTTATGTAATGTCATTTAAATGAAATTAGCCACGCCTGACCCAGCAGCTGCTTTATAACGATCTGTACTGCTGTGCAGGAGGCTTGAGTTGGATTTTATTCCCAAGCCCCCAAGATTTCACTTCCCAGCTTTAGAACTGTGGCAAGGAAGGGGATTTATGTTGCCATGTAGCAGGGAGCTCCTGGTGAGGCTGTGGATGGGCATAGATGTGTCTGTCCCTCTGTTTCTCTCCTCTGTGTCATTTGGGGTAGAAGGTGCTCTGCAGCAGAGGTGCTCAACAACAGCTTATGCTTTGGTACCTCTGATTAAAGTAAGCACAGTAAAAAGGGAGAGGGTCATTTCAGCTGGGAAGTGGAAGGGAGATCCTAGTGCTGTCTTGGGGAACGTGAAGCTGGGGGAGTAGCTGCACTGTGGGTCTCCCATGAGCAAATGCTGCTCGGAGGAGACACGTGCTCATTCCTGGTCCGATGGGTACAACTTGCACATATTGAAAAGCAGCACTGGGCTGCCTGCCAGGAGCTGGGAAATGGCTTGTCCTCATGTACTCAGACCCCTGAGCTCTCACCCCCTCTAACAGCTATATTTGTTTCTGACATGGGAGTCCCTCTAAGGTCACAAAAGCATTAGGCCCAGGTTTCAACCCCAAGAGCCATAAAACGTACCCTACTTGACCCCTGTGCAAATACAGAGGCTGTGTGAGCAACCCACATTCCCCTGGGTTTCATTTCCCTGTCCCCTCCGTGTGTGCCACTGCAGCCTGCATTCCTCTCCCATTCCGTAAGCCCTTTCCTCTCGCGCTGACACAGCTAATATTTCCCTGCTGGCAGGGCAGGCGAGGTGGTGGCATTTAACTGTTAGGGAGAACTTTGATCTGTTCATGCTGTAGAATCCCAGAGCTGTAAGGGCTGGTGCACACCTGTGGTGGGGTTTATGCTCTTCCAGGTGTTCCCCTTCCATGCTTTGGCTCCCTTTCTTGACTTAGATAATTCTCTACTTCATTCCACTGTTTGTCCTTGCAAGAAGCAATACCTTGAGAATTGTTTTCTGCAAGGGGATGGAAAATGGAGTCCGAATTCATAAAACTTGCACCTACCTGGCCCTTCTTACCTTAGTTTTTGAACATCTTCTTGCACAGTGACTGCAGTGCTCAGAATATCTCCTATTTCTGACCATGGAGAAAGCTCTCCTGGTAGCCCTGCTGCTAGCTGGAGCACACAGCTCTGGGGGAGGTTTTAGTGGTTTTTTTGAAAAATAATTGATCAGCTACCCATTGAGAGCTAGTCCCAACCTGCAATGCACTGAGGTTGTCCTTATGTACCACTTAGTGCCACTTGGACTGTTGGCTCTTTAAAGCTGCCTTTAGGACTACCAGTGTAATGAACGTGTGCTGGTGCTCTCTGGCAAGATTTATTTTTTTTGCAGTGATAGCAGTGTAACACTGAGTTAAATGTGGTTTGTATTCTAAAAGCAGAAAACTTTGTTGTCTTCTAAAGCAAAGGTTTACATGTTTTCTGTCATCTGTAGTAGTGGGTGCTAAACTCTTGCTGCCTGACCCCTGCTCAGTTACTGGAGGTAATTATAGAGCCTCTGTCAACGCAGCTCCTCCCGAAGCCTGTGCTTCAGCACCAGTGGAAGCCAGATGTACTATAATGTCGCTTTTTACAGTTTGTTTTGGCCATACATGGGCAGAGTCAGCTCTGGAATTCCTTCCCTATAAATTCAATAGCATCTTGTGGGTGGTGCTGGGGAATCACTCTGGTCTGGTTGGATCACCTCGCCTCGGCAGCCTGTTCCCCTTGAAAATGTCGTGCTTTGCACATTCCTGAGAGGCTGCCTGCTCCTGGAGCGATGGCTGCAGCTACCAGGAGGCTGTTGTCCTGTGCTGGCAGGCGTAGTCACTTCCCTGCTGCCTGCAGGTCAGCCGTTGCAGCCGAGGACTGATGCTTATGGGAGCATTGGCACGAGAATATTGCTCTGGTGTGCATGCAGGCTCTGCAGGGACACATGTTTTACAAAGCACCAGCTCGATGAGCCAGATCAGGGGAGGTTTTCCTGTGCCAGGTGAGCAGCTGGTGTGGGATGTGACAGCAGGACCTCTCTGGTGTGATGGAGGGTTGAGCCTTGCCTTTTCTGATGCCAAGCTATTGGTGCTATAACCACAGCCTGAGTTTGCCTATTTGCCTTCAAAGAACACTCTGAAAAGTAGTTCTATGAGTTTGCTGCTGATGAGTTGAGAGATGAGAGAGAGGTTTCTTTCAAGGGGCAAAGAGCAGTGACTCCTGGAGTTGCTCCCATTGCATCTTCCCGTGCATCCCTGGGAGGGAACAGAGATACAGTGTCACCCATCGAGCCAGTAGCCTCCAAAGCATAGTTCAAGATGGTGACATGGGGCCCCATGACCAGGCTGTGTGTAGGTCAGCAAAGGCAATGTGCTCAGCTTATGCTTCAGAGGGGCAAGTCATCCTGGTGCCAAAGCCAGGGAGAGAAGGGTGATTTTTTTTTTTTGACATCCTTTGGAGTTTTGATCTCCATATTTGGAAATGTTTACCCATTGCTCTGATCTATTGCAAGGGAGGGGAGGTGACTCAGGGTCTGGTGGAAGCAGGATTTGAATTCCTGTAGTAAGGTTTTTTTTTTTTTATCCCCCCCTTTCTTGTTTTGGAAGCTTGTTGTGGTCAGTTTTCAGTTCTCTCTTGCTCTTGGACCTTGTTCTAAATTTGATCTGCTCGAGAGGGAAGCGTGTTAATGAAGGAGGTTGCCTGAATGTTGGTAAGTGCATCATTGCTGTTTTAGCAAGCAACTTGGGACTTTTTTTTTTTGTGTTGTTTAGTCAGATGGATTGCATCAAAGTGTTTGCCTTGCTGGTGGAGACAGGCGTGTGGATCACCAGTCAACAGCAAGGGACCCAATGAAACCTTCTGTAGTAGGGAAAGATGACTTAGTGGATTGGTCTCAAAGGCAAAATGTTTCTTCAGGAGTAGGTATAAAGATCATATAAGCCAGCTCCCATTCCGTCACGCTCTTCCTTTTAGTTTCATTGGTTAATGCAGCAAGGCAGCAGAGCACTGTAGAGTTAAATGAGTATATATGCATGTGGTCAGCAAGGAAAACATAGCTTATGTACGATTTCTGTCTCTTAAGCAAGAGTGTGTGTTAAAAAGGCTGCATAATGCATGGATATATTTCTCTCAAATGTTAATATTTAACTACTGTAATATGTGTAAAATGTTAATATTTAGCTACTGGATAAAGTTTCAGTGTCTGTTTTTTCCTGTTGTTCTGTATTTTTCTTTAGTGTGAGGTTTTTAATCTGTCTGATATTGTAGCTGGCTGCTTCTCTTTTTTTTCTTTTTTCACCCCCCCCCCCTTCCTTTCTCTTTCCTGAAAGGAAGCTGCAGTTCATCCAGACAGTCAGGGACATGGGGGGAACCTGGAAGATACTCTGCTTCCCATTTTGTTCATGGCAGCTAAAACCATGCCGGGGAATCTGGAGCAGAGATCCACCATCCTGCATTCCTTTTGTCATTTGGAGCATGTAACATGCATAGAGTGCTTTTAACGCTGCTCTGGGGGTTATGTAGCTGCCACTCCTGCACCTCAAATGGAAGGCACTGCACTTTGTCCTTTTACTTTGAAAGGGGCATTGGTGACAACTCCTTTATAGTTCCCACTGCTGGTTAGTAATCCTTGTATCTTCTCAGCTAACTGGTATTTTAGGCTACTTCAAACCCGTTGCTATCATACTCTCTCTATTTTAAATTTAAGACCTTTGTTAGAAAGTTAAACCTCTTATTGATTTTCTTTTGCCCTTTTAAAAAGGGATTAATACTCATTGTGAGGTTTGGTTTTTCCAGAGATGTGGATTTGTAGGAGGTCCTTGAGGTACAAAACTGTCTGGATTGTTCTGAACAGGGGAAGATAATTGGCTTAGTTTGCACGAGGATGGATGTGAGATAAAAAGCACTAGGCCCCAAAAAGTGAAGGACTGCAGTTGGGATGTGTTGAGGATTTGTAGACTTCAGCTGTATTTTCTTTCTTGTTACTTCAAGCTGCTGG